AATGGGACCAATACTGCATGGTGCCACTGTTGTAAAACAGGACTGATGTTGGGGTTGGGGAGAAACTGAGAAAGATGGGTTCAATAATGTATACTGCATTGAAACAGATGAGGGAGAAAATGGTTTAAAAGGGATATGTGATTAGGTATTTTTTTCATGACAGGAGTCCAGAGCAAAGGCTGCATGGTGGAGTGGACCTGGGGGAGGGTCTGTAAAACAATGAAAGAATTTTTCTTTTACTTTTCCAAGAGGGTAGTGTACTGGGGGGGGAGGGCTGGGAGGGGAGAAAGTGCAACAATGAATGAATGGAAATTAAAAATCTATAAATTTTTACTGAAATTAATAATAAATTCAAATAAAACAAACAAAAAATTTCCTCCCCCACTTCGTTAAACATGAATAGCCAAGAAATATCTGCTGGGCTTGGGGTTCAGTCTATAGAACTGATGCTATGTTTTTGGAAGTTTGTTGCACTAGAATTTGAAGACCACACAAGCAAATTTTCCCCTTAATTTATTTTGACTCTCCTCTTGTACGCTCTTCTTAAGCAGACTGCACACTCTAGGTGTCTCCGTGCACAGCACTTAGAAAACACACCACAGGGCCAAGGGCCACATGGCCAGGCTGTGTCATTCTACCTCGTGTCCTCCGCTCCTAGCCTGCACCAGCCAGCACCCCCAGCTTACTTGGTTATCGTCCCATCGATGTCAGAAATGATGACCTTGTCGTTCCAGTTCCACAGGTAAATGGTTCCCGCACAGCGGCAGGTCCCTTGATACTGGGTTGTAATACTAAATACAACATCATTTGGTCCATCCTGGAGCTTCAGTTTTGCCTTTTATAAAAAGTATAATTAGGAAAAAGCAGTTTAAAAACCACGTAAGTTGAAACAGTTTAAAATCTTTAAAACTATTAATTGGTGTGTTTAAGAATTCCAACTACCACGAGGCAGGGCTGTTTTCCTTCTGTCCCTGAACATATCATATGTTTGCAAGGATCAGCCGGGCACTGAGCCACTCAGAAAACAGTGCCTGAGACTTCAGGCTTCTCTGAACATAAAATCCAAAAGTTCTCTTCCTTCTTGCAACATCTTGCATCACTGCCCTGAGGTATAACCTCCTGCTGTTACCAGCAAGACCATCTGCACAGTAAAAACAGATGAAATTCAGGTAGTAGGAGGAGATCAGGGGCAAGGGTGATGGAGAAACATCGCCCCACTGTGTGGCTCCTGAGAGGCAGTACTGCGCTGACCAGTGAAGGGTCACAGTGAGGCTTCCCTACTATAAATGAAAATGTTTACAGTTCACACTTTACAGTATGAATCAGGCTTAGAACTGGGACAGCCTGAGGAGGAATCTCCTCAAACTGAGTAGCTCCTTGAACAAACCATACTGGATCTCCCCTCAGAGCCCCTGACTTACTATCTGCTCAGAGGAGAGCCTGAGGGACTTCTTGTAGGAAGTGGCACTGCCATGGACCAGGCGCTCCCCAGGAATGGGCTCCACTTTGATGGATTCCTCAAGCTCTTGAGATGCTTCATCAGTTGATGAGTCATCTTCAGATAGCCTAGAAAACATAAAACCAGTTACCACAACTTTACACAAATTATGACTGAGTTACACATTTCTGGCAGACACCCCTTTAAAATGTGGGCATGCCACTTTTGTGAAGAATGGTACAAAAGACAGAAGGACATTTTCTTGAAGACAGACTCTCACTTAGGACTAGGAAACAGACAGGCAATCTAAAGCATCATTTAATTTCCTGAAGGACTTACCAATATGTTCTAGGGATGGGAAGAGGTGCTCCCTCTGCCATCCTCTCGTGTCACAGGCTTTTTAGGCCCTCTACAGTCACATTCATAACGTCGTAAGAGTGAAGGCCTTTTCTCCTCTCATAACTGGAAAGCAGCTACTTTCTGACTATAACTTGGTATCTTGTTAGAAGACATGCCTGAATTCTGACAGATCTACTAATAGTCTTTCTGAGGCTTGCCAAAAGGGGATGAATGGTTCATATAAATATTTTTGTTTATAAAAACCAATAAATATCCTTGCACATATAATAAAAAAAACCCTAAACAACCCAACAAATACAGATTTTATACACCCTTTAAAAGGTGGTGGTAAGAGCAAGAAAAGAAACATAAGCTCAAGGACACAACTAAATTAGAGCTAAGGAATGGGAAAAGTAAAACTCTGGGTGGAATTAAGAACCATGTGTATCACCCAAAGCACCAATGGTGCTGGTATGTCCTCTAGAGGTGACTGGTCTAAGGACATGCCATCTGTGGTGTTAGCCTAAAGTTGGCTTTTTAAAGTCATTATATTAAGCACTTCTGGTCTCCAGCTGCTTTAATTGCAGACACACGGTCTTGCAAATTATCAATAGCTGTGCGACTTGGATAAGTGAGAGAGTGTGCTCCTACACCGAGTATTAAGACTTGTGGCAGCTAGACTTGTAGAAAGCAAGACTTGAAGAGGGCAAGACTTAAGTGAGACTGGAGCAAGAGACCCTTTTGATGGTGGTGGAGAAACTGTGATATGGTATAACCTGAGGCTTCTTGCATTTGTACTATTCTTGTTGCATTTTGCTCTTCTTTTTGGATGCTTGAAGGAGAAGCTGCTTTGGGGCAAACTCTGCTTGATGATTTGGATTTGACTGTTGAACTAAAACCAGAGCCTGGACTATCTGAAGAATTGTGCCTTGGAACTGCTGGGCTAAAACTTGGATTTGCTTTGGGTGCTATTTTTTTGCCTCCTCAACTCACATCTCTAATAAACCCCATTCTCCGTACCACAACTGTGAGGCTGAGAGTCAACACTGAATAAAAGAACCTCTTGCTGCTGCTGTGGCTCTAAAGGAACCATGGGGCTGGGCTGTGGGTCTTTATCTGCTTTCTGCTCTGGGACAGGGAGGGGCTGTGCTATTCTTACTCCCTCTGACCCTTTTAGACAGACACTCACTGTCCCCCCATCCTGTTTTCTGCTCTAGAAGCATCATCCAATCTTTCTGATTCTCTTTTTGGGTCTCCCTTTTGTACCTGATTCAAAGCAGGTGACAGAGACATGACATATCTTAAGTGAGGCTTTCCCCAAAGTCTTACATTTCACAGTGTACAATTTCATGGCTCCAAAGATTTAGGAGAGTATTATGTACTATTTCAGGCTGACAGCTTTCAGAAAAGTAGACATTATCTGCTAATTATCTGAGAAGCACAAACAAGGCACACAGAATCATGCCTATCTAGAGGAGAAAGATGTGACTAAGAATAAAACCACTGAAGTGCCATGTCATAGAGAGAGTGCTGAGGAAGAAACGCAGGAGAAAGGACAGGGTGCCTACCTGGTACTGGCCTGCTCCTGTGTGCTTGGTGGCAGGTCGCTCAACGGCTGAGCCTCAGGCTTTCCCTCCTTTGTCTCTGGCAACTGAAAAACCAAGAGATTGATAAATGGCCACATGTTCTTTTTTCCCTACCAAGAAGCAAAAAGTCATTACCAATCCTTTTCAGGATAGAGCATAACTACTTTCTGTATCTACTTAAAAATGCTCAAGAAACAGATTTTCTCCAGTTTTAGCCAAAGGACAGAAACTTGAGATGGAAGTAATATGCTACTATGTAAAAAGCTGCTGACCACAAAGTCAGAAGTAAAATATTTTTTTTTTTTTTAGAAGTAAAGTATTTTAAAGAGCACCATCTTAACAGGACCGGTCTAATGTGTCAAGTCCTAAGACACACGGAGCAGAATGAAAACCCCAGGGCTCTTTCTCCTGATGTGGCTGAACATGGACTGGGAAGATGAGGCAGGTGGAGGCAGGGTGGAGAGACCACGCTCAAAGGGACCTGCAGGAGTCACCAGTGACAGGATGTGGCTCGAGTCCACTACAGTTCTCTGTCACTTGGAAAGCATGCAAGGCTCCCTAAACCTTCTTTATCAGAGGCTTTGGGAAACTAAGACTTCATCTGCCACTTTGTTTTTTATTGCTCTTTCTTTAGGTGAATCCACTGGGCTAGTGTGCTGATGAAAGAGGAAAGCATGACTATCTGCATCTGAAGTTGCCTGCGGGAGAATAAGCATAAAAAAACCCCCAACAACTCTGAGAGGTAACATGAGGTTGAAAGACACAGACTTTAAGAGTCAAGACTCAAGGTCAAATCTTAGCTCCACATATCCCCACGTACAAAACTTCAGCAAAGCTATTTTTGTGCCAAATGTCCTTACCAGTAAGATGAAAATTCAAATATTTATACTTCTGAGTTAACATAAAATTTATAGGTGATGTCTACAAAGCATCTAGCACAGTCCCTGAACATAGTCACTACTCTAAAAACGGTATCATTATTGCAAAACAGCAGTAACAAACAACCCAAAGTGACTTTCTTCTGCTTGGCAAAAAGGTATCCTGAACAAATGAAAGATGCACTTCTTCTCAAGGAAAGGGTTACCTCTAAGTAGTTACCTGTTTGGTCATGCTCTCTCTCTTACGCCAAAACCACCACCGACCAGACTTCTTTGGCATCTTATCTTTGACCCAGGATTCAACTGTTGCCTGCAAACAACCAATGTGGATTAGTCTGGGCAAACCACTGGTCATAAAGCAGCCAGCTATTTCCCATCTGCAGCCTTAGGCACACCTGGTTATGGAATATAAGCTAACACTCTTCCCAGAGCCCTGACCATCTTACTACCACAAACCCTTGCCAAGAGTTGCAGCAGGTCTGTGGGCAAAGCTGGGGAGCCTGCTGTGTGGAAGCAGACAAAAAACATGCACTTGTGACATGTGAGGACAAACTAGGCTGCCACTGTCTCCTCAGAGTACAGACTCAGAAACAACCCCCGGCTTCGCCACAACAGGCCTACTAGACACTCTGCTCTCCCTAATGTCACGGCACTCTGGCCACAACATCCTCTTCCTGCTGTTTCTTTTCACCTTACTGAGAGGAAATGTTTTTCATTTTTCCTTGATTTAATTTACAGTTGGTAAAATCTGTCAATTTTTATACATCATCAATCAGTAAACACATCTAACAAAAGAGACTTTTAAAAAGTGGCCTAAGACCAAAACTAACTCTTTTCCACCAAATCAGTTCCATGGAGGGCTCAGGGCTACCATGCAGGACAGGGTAGAACTGCTCCCAGGGTTGCCAGGCTCAACCTTTATGCCCCAACCCCCCTAACAGTGGAGATCTGGTCCTTTTACTGGACTTGGGCAGGGCATGACATTATCAGAGTGTGTGCACACAGCTACCTGAACTTTTCACAGTGGTAAAGATTAAATTCAAACAAGGCTTTGAGCAGTATCCAGCTTAGAAATATGCACTTAAGGATTTCTGTATATACGGTGTGTAGCTGCTTGTTTTCAAAAGGCAGCATATGATGGATCACCTCACCTTAGGCAAACTCTTCTGAAATACTTGTAAGCTAAGGATCATGGGAGCAGCCAAGGCCCAGTTGTAGTAACTGTGAGAAACAAAAATTATGTAGAGTTATCACACATACACACCTTCCAACAAACAGCAAGAGAATAGCAGAATCAACAGGTTAAAAGGGCTTATTTTCATATCTTTTTGTCATAGAAGTTATCTTTGCTTTAAGCCAAATTTCTCAGAATCTAGAAACATTTAAATCTGTAAAAGAGAAAATTAACTTTTCAGCACCTCAACACCTTAAAAATAAAGCTGAGGCTTCATTTTATTTCAATGTCACCACCCATTAGCTCCTTTAAATGAGGTGGAACAGTTTATAGAAACAAAACTAATATTCAAAACAGCACATGGGGAAAAAACTCAGCAAGTATATTTAACAGTGACAAATTCAAGTTATGTATTGACATAAATTTACCGGTTATAGATCCGTATTACGAGATTGGGGTTGTCTATAAGTCCAGGGTTTTCAGCAAATTCATGGTAAGTAATGATGTGCTCCATGAATTTTTCTGCAATGTAAAACAATGATCAATCTGGTTAGAGAGTACATAAATCCTTTGATGAGATTAATATTATAGCCATTACTTTACAGGAACTAGAAAACAAGTATTTTCTTATACTTTTATTGTATGTCAGTTCCCTTTACTTCCCTCCCCGGAACAAGACCACTTTTAAAAATTCTCCCTCCTTTTAGAAATATTGCTGACAGATGTGGCAAGAGAAAAGACAGAGATGTTTGTCCATGCACACACTCTCTCTCTCTCTCTCTCTCTCTCTCTCTCTCTCTCTTACTTGAGTAATGAAGAAACTTGAACTTTTTCATTGTCATCAGACAATAAAACACTTTAGTTAGCAGGAATACTCAGGGAATATTTAGGGCTTTAAGTGGCAAGTTCTATTAGATAAACTCCCTATTAGATAAATATATCTTAACACTTACTTGGGAAGAAAAAAAGTAACAAAATTTGGTTTAGACTCTGTAAAAAAACTAAGTTTGTGCACAGTGAGTATGGATTTCCTATGAACCACTGTACCTTTTAGTACACTGCATTGTAGTAGATTCAAGCTAAGAAATTTCTCATGTATTATCTCACCAAGTAATCTATTTATTACTTCTTTTCTGAAACTTGTGCATCCTCTAATAACATGCTCTACTAAGCTAAAGAGCCTGTATTTATGTATGTATGAATGTATGCATGCATGTATTATTTTTTGTGCGTGTACTGTCAAGTTAAATCTGACTGGTACAGGGGAAGATTGTCCCTCCTTCTCCAGCAGAGCATCTAATAGCCAGTATTTAAAACAGAAGTATAAATATACTTTCCTATCTACTAATGCAAGCATACACAGACACTGTTAGGTGCCCATGAGTTGGTATTAACTCACAAGTCAATCTACGCACAGAGAAAAAGTGCCTGGTCCTGTGCCATCCTCATCCTCACCTGTAGACCCACTGTGGAAGCCTCTGTGCTAATCTACAATCTAGCTCATTTCTGAGAACTCTCTATTTTATTCTCCTCCAGGGACTACATAATATATCCAAACTACTTCAAAGTCTCCCCATCATCATTTCTGAGGAGCATCCTGACGGCACCCCTTCCAAGACCGGTAAGGTTGTTCTTCTGGCCATCAGTGGTATATTCAAGACTCTTCACAAACGCCACAAATCAAAGGCAAATCTTCTTCTTTGGTCTTCCTCACTCACTGTTTGGCTTGAGAACACCAAGCCTTCAGTCAGGTTCACCTCAGAACTCAACTGTTGTCTTTGCCTTTCAACACCTGGGGTCTTTTTTCAGGAGCAGGCATCATCACTGAAGTATGTGTCATCTGACTGCTTAACTGCTCCTTCTAGAGGCACTACTTGTGGATCTAAGTAAAAGAAATAGCTGATAGCTCAATCTTTCATATATTTATCGTAAAGTTGCTTATTGTGTTTGATGATTCTTTGCAGTGACCACAGAGAGCTCAAAGACAACAGGATTATGGGGCTTACTAGGGAAAGAAAAGGTTACGATTCAATTTGGAAGCACTCAGCAATTATACTTTAATCAGGTTGGCCTCTTCTGAGCTGCTCACAGGCAGGCTTTTCTCTGACCCTCGGTGCCATGGTCTTGGACTTTGCTTTGCTTCAGCGAATGGCACAAAGCTCTCTTAATCGTGTCAATCAGGTGCCATCCCTACTCTGCCAGTCAAGGCCAAAAGTGGTTGGCTGTAGCTCCACGGGCCAGCAGATCCAGCTCAGTGGTGCCTCACTCAGGTGCTTGGCTACTGCCTGGACTGCCACCTGGGCTGGTGTTTCTCATTCTGTTTCTTACTCTTGTTCTATCCTGCACAGGAATCTCTGGCCCAAAGATTGACTGCACTCTCCTGCTTCTTTCTTGATGATAATGAGTTTCTGGTTCTCCACTTCTGCATAATGACAAAATTTACTATTCCTCATGTCAGCATTTTATGCATCTTATCTGCACATCCCAAGCCCTAAAGATACTATATGCCTTATTTGTGCCATTATGACTAATTCACTAAAGCGCAGAGGTGTAATCCACACTGAAGGCTGTAGTCTGTGACCTTCACAGTTAAGTGTGCTTCAATTCTTCACATTCAGTAAGCAAGGTAGTATCAGGTGAGTATCATGGCCTTCTCATCTGCTTGTTATGTATCTGAGAGTTGGACAATCAATAAGGATGACAGAAGAATCATCAATGCCTTTTAACTGTGGTGCTGAAGAAGAATATTGAACATCAAGAACTGTAAAGAGAATAGTTTTGTCTTGAGGAGAGGGTGAAACTAGGTTGTTCCTTGAGGCTAGGATTTTGAAACTCCATCTCACATTATTTTGGGCAAGTTGTCAGGAGGGACCAGTCCCTGGAGAAAGACATTCTGCTTGGATCATGCTTGCGAAGGTAGAGGGCCAGCACAGGGGAGGAAGACCCTGATTAAGATGGACTGATACAGTAATTGTGGCAATGAGGTCAGGAGTGTAAAAGACTGTGAGGCTGGCTCAAGACAGGGCAGGGTTCAGAGCTGTTATTCATAGGGTCACTGTGAGTCACAGTCAACTCAAAAGCACATAACAACATCATCACCTCAGGTTAAGGCTAATGAAGAGAAAATGGGATTAGGAGGCACAAGGCTCTGAAGTGTCTCTCTGAAAGTGCCCGAGGGAATACAAATAGCACAGGCCCTCAGCGCTCCAGAGCAGAAAGCAGATCAAGAACCCATAACCCAGCTCCATGGAGCCTCTTGAGCCCCAGAAGCAGCAAGAGGTTCTTTTATTTGCAGCTGACTCACTGTTATGGTACCAACAACAGTGGGGTTCATTAGGGAAGTAAGTTGGGGAGGCAAAGAATATCTCACAAAGCAAGTCCAGGCTTTAGACCAGCAGTTCCAAGGCACAATTCTTCAGTAAGTCTAGGCTCCGGTTTCAGTTCAACAGTCAAATCCAAATCATCCAGCAATGTTTGCCTCAGAAGAGTTCCAAGTTGGTTTCTCCTTCAAACATCCACCAAGAACAGCCAAACTTTTAACTGTGTCCAGCACAAATGCAAGAAACCTCAGGTCACACTTTGCCACCATTACTCCACAGGAATGCCAATTTCTCCACTAACCAGGGTCTAATTCTCAACAGGTTTTGCTGCCATAAGCCTTGCTGCCTCGTGTGTGAAGATGCATGTTTTCTCTTATCCTACTCCCACACCTGTTGATGATTTTTAAGACCATGTTTATTTGCAAGACCATGAGCCTGCAGTTAAGGCAGCTGGAGACCGAAGGCTAACTGCCTAAAAAAAAGCTAACTTTTAGGCTACCACCACTGGTTATTGATGAGTCTGACTCCAAACCTTTCCTCATATAGTTCAGCCCCATAAAATTATTTTGCTGAACATGAAGGTTAAAGACTGTAAAAGAACACAACCCCAACATACAAAATTTCCCAATTTCAAACCAAGTAGTACCTTCTAGCTTTGTTCTAATAGCTGCTTCTTGGTCAAAGTACTGATTCTTCATAAGCATGGCATGCATGGTGTCCAATTCCCATCCTGTGCAATGTTATCAGTAATCTGTTATGATCCAGAGTTGAATGTCTTTGTATTGCCAATGTAGCATCGATAAACACCTTCCTGGTATTCGACTCTCAGCTAAGACCCCCCTGACATAAGCAATGACAGCTCTTACTCCACCTCTTCTTATACTCCAGCCTGAAATTCTGGCAGCTCCTTGTTGATGTACTCACTACATAAGTGAGATTTACGATTATCACAAGAAGAATTTAACCTATAGAGCTGGCTGGGTGGTTTGTTTCATGGGCATCCCCCCTTTTAAAAAGATATTTTTATTGTGTTTTCAATGAAAGTGCACATAACAAATTTAATATCCACAAAATAATTTCTATGCCGTTTATTCCATTTACAATGTCTCATGAGCTACATTTTACACTATGTGTTAGTCTCCTTATTTCTACTCTATTTGTTCCGTTTCCAGCAATCTAGTCTCCTTGTCCCCCTTTCCTTCTTATTTTTCCTTTAGAATAAGTGCTGACTGATCTCATGTATGTATGTGATTTTTAAAATGAGCACAGTATTTTTTGGTGATTAAGAGTCTGATTTTTAGTTAAAAAATGACTTCATGGAATAGCTTCGGTTCAAAGTTTAAAGACTCTTTGAGTATATATCTAATAGGGACCCCTGGTGGCCTAGTGATTAACAGCTGTACTGCAATCTCAACGGCACATGGTTCAAATCCACCAGGTGCTCCTGGGAGAAGGATAGGCAGCCTCCTCCTGTGTGATTAGCTGCCTCTGAAAACCCACTGAAAGGTCAGCTATGGGATGGTTCCAATTTGACAGCACATGATAAAAACAACAAATAGTGTCACTCTGTCCAATAAATCTGGGCCTTTTAAGAATCCAAGTTCTCTTCCACATTTCTCTCCCATTCCCATCAAGCACTCATTTTTGTGGTCCTGATAGGAATTCAGAACACTCAATTCTGAAAGAGCCTTCGGGTAGATTAGGTTGTGGTTCACTAATGGACTAATTTCTCTGAGTCTTTGGCTTCTGTCCTTCTCAGTAATGATAACGTAGAGGTTATCTAATTTTGCTCCCCTAAAAAACGGTGGTCACAACACACCTTTAATTTCTTGCACTAAATAAAACAAACAGAAATAAGACATGGGGAAGAAAATGCATGATGGGTATCTTACGAAAATAAACAGAAAAAATGAAGGGAAACCCAATTCAGCAGCTATAGCCAGCCTGGTTTCTACCACAGCTGACTGCCTTCGATTCTTTCCTAAGTGAAGGAAGACAGGGATGATGCTAGTCATAGGAACCTTCCTGAGAGGAAATCCAATCAAGGACCACTAGCCAAACTGAGAAAACACGAAGAGCTTCATTTAAAAATGAGGAAAGGAACACCCCACAAGGCTGACAAAGACAGCTGAATGCACTTGTGGTGCTCAGCCCACACCCAAAGTTCTAGAACCTTTCCTCACTCATGAGCACACCTTCCTCTCCTGAGCCAAGCCCTCAAGTCTGACTGAAATGAACCCTTCTTGCTTCCTGCAGCCCATTCGGAAGACAACATTGTTGGGCAGTGTCAACATCCCACACACACGTCGAAGGTCCTTTCTGGAAGATGGCGGACCTAGTCCCGTAACATTCCACAACTTTACAGATGAGAACATGAAGGGAGTGGGCCTGACCCTGGCCACCTGGTGCACTGGGAAGCTGAAAAGTCCCTCAATGGTCAAGGGTGAGCCGTCAGGGCACAAGCTTCACCAGTGATGCTCAGAGTCGACATCACCTCATATGAGATGTCTGTAACAAGGGCTAACCAGGAAGCAGTCATCAAAACAGAGCAATTAAACACTGCATGGTTCAAACTTGGGAAGAGTGTGTATCAAAGATGTGCCCTATCTCCGTATCTTTTCAATCTATATGTGAAACAGATTATCTGGGAGGCTGGGATCTATGAGGAGAAAAGTGGCATCAGGATTGGAGGTACACTCATCAACAATCTGCGTTATGCAGATGACACAACCCTGCTTGGTGAAACTGAGAAGGACCTGAAGCACTTGCTGCAGAGGGTCAAGGACTGCAGTCTTAAATATGGATTGAAGCTCAACATCAAGAAGACAAAGATTCTCAACAATGGGCCAAATGGTAGACAGTGAAGAGAGTGAGGCTGTTAACAACTTCAGTTTGCTTGGCTCCACAGTCAACATTCTAAGTACCAGAGGCTATGACATTAAAAGACGAATTACACTGAGAAAGTTTGCTGTCAGAGACCTCTCCAAAGTACTGAAGAGCAACGATGTCAGTCTGGAGACTAGGGTGCACCGGATACAGGCCATGGTCTTTGCCATTACTTGCTATGCAAAAGAAAGCTGGACAATGACTAGGGATGATAGAAGAATTGATGCATTTGAGCTGTGGTGCTGGAGAAGAGTATTAAATATACCATGAACTGATAGGAGAACAAACAGGTTCTTCCTGGAGAGGGTGAAATCAGGTTGCTCCTTGGAGGCAAGGATTCTGAAGCTCCGTCTGACATACTTTGGACATGTTGCAAGGTGGAATCAGTCCTTGGAGAAGGACATCATGCTTGGGATGATGGGGGGACAGCACAGGAGAGGAAGACCCTTGATGAGGTGGAATGGTTAAATGACTAGGATAATGGGGATAGGTGTGTCGGGGACAGTAAGATTGGCATGGGATAGAGCAGGTTTTAGGGGTGTTGTACATAGATTCACTATGAGTCGCAGGCTACTCGACAGCACTTAACAACAACAAATGCCTATAATTACCAGGTCTTATATTGTTACCCATTTAAGACCACTAAGAATTTAGATACCTGGGAAGGGCTGCAGGGATATATGGCAGGCTTTTAATAAAAGTGGACATATCAAGGAGATTTTTGGGAAGCTAAAAGTACACATACCTTTAGAAATTTCTCCATTCTCACTGAGGCCCCCACAAAGTGAGAGGGTGACGTCGGGCAAGTCCATGGCAGAATCGGAGAGACATTCAGTGCCGCTATCGGCAGCTGCGCTTCCCACAGACTGAGGGGACTGGGAGCCAGAGAGTGTGTCCAACTCGGGCCATTGCCGGCTGCCAGGATCTGATTCACTAGGGAGAGAAATAATCCACCTCGTTACAACATCTTGTATCCCTAGTGTACCACTTGATGCTCTGCGGGCTCGAACCAAGTAACAAAGTCTTTAGAGAGGAGATTGACCTATGAACATACCCCCGTTGTTCTCAGTGATCAGAACCATTTAAACGGCACAGAAATAACTTCAACAGCTACACTGAGGAATCCATTGTGAGGGCACTGAGCATGGTAAAAAATCACTGCAGTCATTCATAACATGCATTCCAACTAGAGACTTACTGATTGCAATTAAAGGAGTAAGAGTCCTAACCACTTCTTTTCATTTCCATGATTGAAAATGACAGGGTGAACAAGGAGAAATGTGATGTTTGCAAACCTTTTCATCCTAAACTCTTAGAAAAAGTCATGGTACCATATAGATCCTGCAAAAAATTAGTCTAAGGCTGTAATAGTTTTTGAAATGTTTTTGTAAATTCACATTTGCCACAATGCAGAAATTCAGAGGAAGCCAAAATGAAGAGAACATTCTCAGGAGCATCAAAACCCCACTGCACTTAGTGGACTGTAGTGCTGAATGCCCACAGTGTGCTCCCAAGGCTACAACTCTGTGAGGCAGGAACTCTCTAGCCCTCTCTCATGAGCAGCTGGTAGATTCTTGGTCCAAAGCACACCACGTAACACACTGTGCCACCAGAGCTCCCCCAAACAGAATGAAATGCGAAATAAACCACAAGTTTTTACACCAGGGCTTCTAACAGGTACATTCCAGTTTGAATCCCTGCTGAGTATTTACACTTCCTCCCTGATACTCTGAGTCAGAATCTCCATTTTAACAAGATGCCCTTATATTTCATTCATAACAATATTTAAGATTCTTCAAGGGACTTGTAAAAATCATCTGAGTCTTACAAAATACAGAATCTGATTCAGAACATTTGGTGTAAAAATAAAAATTCCCGGCAGGGAGTCAAATTGGAATGAACTGGTATGAAGCCCTGTTTTACACTAGGTGAGAGCGGAACTAAGGATGAGATGATTCAGCATTGTGTTTGTGGATGATAAGGGACCCCAGGTTTTGGAAGGTGACCAGTAATGAAGCAAGCCTGTTTGACAAAAAAAGCACAAGGAAATGCTTGCTGAAGTCTCTAAGCCACAACTGTCTACTGCTCTGTACCTTTGGATAGAGACAATGTAGCATTTGACATCTGAGATACTGTTCTAGAATTTTCAAATTCATTAATTTTGTTCAGAAAGCCAGCATGCTATATAATGCGTAATTAAAAACAAATCAACGGAAAAAATGAAAACAAAATACCAATAAAGCAATTTGTATGATCCAATCAAGTTTTATGATCTTCAGGAAAACTTCTTAACCTTGAAAAGGTGGCAGGGATTGCTAGCTGGAGAGCAGTTCCACAAGCTGTCCCACTTGGCATTCAAGCCTAAAAATGATTTAGGGTTTTCCAGAAGCTCACGCCAGCCCTGCAGAGCCATACCACAAGATCACCAGAGTGCTCTTCCCTGAGCACCCAGGACAAGACTGTGGTGCCATGTTACGTTTAAAACAGTTCAATTGAGGGGACAGATACTAGAGAATTGTCTGAAAGACGGTGGGTCTACAGCAATGACTGTAAATGGTATCCTCTGTAGTTCTGTCCATTCTACACTCATCTGCAGGTTTTTCTAACACAGCCCTCATGACACTGAAAATGTTCTATAAATAGGAAGACTACAAACTTGTCATCACTCCATTCAAGCAGCATATGTGTAATTCCTAAATGTTCCAAAACCAGAAGCAATCATCAGATTTACTGAAAAGGCCCCATCACCAAGCTCTTTTTCCTCAGGTGAAAAGCTCCAGAAATCAGTTAACTAGTCTATTTCCGAGCTGTTCACACAATAAGCTAACATTATCAGATACACTACCTTTTAGGGAAATAGAGAGCAGCAACTTCAGGTTCGAGGGCTTTTAAGTCATCAAGGTAAATGTCGTCAGGCCCCTGGTGCTGGCTTCTCTTGTGGACACCTGTTTTTATGAGAAAAAGGCATCAGAGGTGCGATATAAGTTATTCTTCATTTACGTCTATGCAAGAAAACACAAGTTCTATACCTGCCATGATTTGGACAGGTTATCTTTATCACGTGTCAAGTGCCTATGATTCTCTGATTTAGTGGTCCATAGTGGGGGTCATTCTTTTGATAAGTCTGATGTAACACAAGCATTCTCTTGAAGGGAACTGCTGGGAGCAGCTGAAGAGGGAGTGTCACTGGAGATTTGATCTACATCAAACATACAAGGACGTCTCAATCCTGCCTCTGTCTCATCATGTCTTTGGTTCTCTGGATTTGAACCAGCCTCCAAAGGGTCATTATGAGTCACAGTCGACTAGACAGTACATAGTAACAATGACAACTACAGCTTGATGAGATGGACTGACAGACTACTAAAATTTGCTTGAAAATGACAGAGATTATGAGGATGGCGCAGGATCAAGCAAAGTTCAGATCTATATAGTTCAGAAGGTCCCTACAATTCATAGTCAATTTGACAGCATCTAACAATTATCATAGCTATGTGCCATGGACCTGAGATATGCATGCCAGTGTCCACAAGCACTGAATCATTCCTTTCAAATGAAACACACAAAACCTCCTGAGACTATTTAGGGAAATCAGAAAACTAGCTTAGTATTAGATGGTACTGCTGCTCTTGAAGATGGCAATCCTGCTATAAAGAAAATGTTTCGTTTAAATGCTTAGTAAAAAGCACTTCTTTGGGTATTTGTGGTGAATGTGTTGTCTCCCGCCCCTGGAGAAAGACTCAGTAAAGGAGAGAGTTGGCTAAAAATAAGACCCTCCTTGAGACAGATTGACACTGTAGCTGCTGTAATGACCATAAGAACAGAAGGGGCTGGGGTGGGGTGGGGTGTGTGCGCGCGCACACACGCACGCTCTTCCTTTCATGGAAGGGAGCTATGACCAAAGCAAACTCAACCAAAGGGTCAAATTCGGGGGGCCACAGCGACAAGCCTGCGCATACCAGTGATGGCATCAGGCCAGGCAACATTTTCTTCTGTCCTTTTTTATTTTTACAAATGATTGATTGGAAAGCTGTTTTATTCTGTAAACTTTCACTCAAATCACAGAAACAAAAATCTTAAAGCTGACATAACCCTAATGAGTTTGTGTTTGTCTTTTTTTTGTTTTTAAAATTTTTTTATTATTAATAATTTTAATGAGAATTTACGGAGACTTTGGATTTCCATTCATACATTGTTGCACTTTTCTCCCTGCCCACCCCCCTCCCCCCCATACATTCTTTTCTTTGAAAAGTAAAAGGAAAATTCTTTCACTGTTTTACAGTCCTCCCTCACCCCCTTTTCTTCATCCCCATGAGCTGGAACTGGTAAAATGGAAACAAATCACAACGATGCCAAAGCAAATAAAAGGAATACCTTTCTTCTTTGATGGTGAGTCTACTTTAGCAGCTGGTTTTAATTCTGAGCCCGTCTCGGCTGGTGATGGGTTAGGAAGACTGTCTGCATCTAACATAGATGAAATGGGAGGATTCTCAAGAGGAGGGTCACGAGGTTCTGCAGTGGGAACTGTATCACTCAGCTGCTTACACAAGGCTCTGGGCTTGGGCTTCACTATGGTACAGACTGTGTCTTCAATGGATGTGTCCTTCTCAACTTCACTCATGAGGGTGTCTTCGCTGGGAATCACCCGAAAATGGGTATTTTCTGAAGGCATAATTGTAGCTGTCCTAGGATGATGGTCAGATCTCTCTCTTTTGCTTATCTTAAAAAAATTTTTTAAAAAGTTCATTATAATGGTTTTAAAGCAAAACTATTTTCAAAGGTTCATTATAATTTATTTTTTAAGCTGGATTCAATTAAATGTACTTATTTTTTATTTACAACTTATATCTTGTGTGAAATATAAATTTGAGAGAAATTAACTATATTTTAATATTGTAGCATCTAGAAAAGTTATATTTACACTTGCTCTTTATGGAGTTTAAACAACAGATAGGACTGTGAGAAGCAGCTCCTGAGAGGCAAAGAACATTTGTGTTGAGGGAGAAAATGACAAACTGAAAGGCTTGGATCTTAACCCACCAAGCATCAAGCCTCAGTCCCAAGGCTTGGTCAAAACAGTGTAAAGGTGGGAGTGAAAGCACAAAGGCACTGAGCAGGCAAAAAGCTTTATTTTAAAAACAAAATTAAACTGAAGATATAAACATTTTCACTCAAGAAATTTATCTTCTTTGGTTGTTCTCTCATTTTGTACTTATAAAAATCTTTCATAATCAACACTGAGTTTAAAATGTCAAGGTAGAATACTAGCTTCCTTTCAAAATTTCCTTATATGACAATAAGCATCATGAAGACAGAAAAAAGATGCTGGATCCCAGCTAAGGCAGACGCACACAGCAAACGTAAACTCTGCCCAGGCTAACTGGATTTCTCACACGACCACACGAGGGCACCAACATCCTTTACAGTCACACTCTTCCAGTCAGAAAGTGGATTCTACTTATGGATGGTTTTTCAACTAGACACACTCTAAGGGCAAGGAGGGCCGAGGAAGTACCTTGGTGGACTCTGGGAACCCGCCCCACGTCCACTCCATGTGAGACTCGGATCTCAGCAGACTCTCGACCGGTTTTACCTCCAGCTCCGAATCACTCTTGGGGCACACTGCCTGAGAATAGGTGCTGTAACACAAGGACAAAGCCACATAAGGACTGTCAAGTTAGGGCACCTCTGCCGTGCTGAGCTGCGGAGGGAAAAACACTCAGAACAGAGCAACTGCATCCTGAAGATGCAGAAGACACTACTGAAGGAAATACCAATTATTTCTTCAAAAACAGCTTAAGCTGACACCTGTGACCCTACTCATAACAGAACGACTGTTGCCAAGCATGCATTCACTGCAGCACTACCAGCCCATCTCACTGAATGTCTTCCTCCTTTTGGTTAACTCCCCACTAACTTTTCCAAGCATAATGCAATATTCCAGGGACTGGTCCCTCCTGTTAATATATCCAAAGTCTATAAGACTAAAAGATTGGAATGTAGAAACTATATACATGGTCAAAACTTAGGCTAATTTATAAAGATCTACATTGGTTGACACCATTATATAGTAAGTCAGATAAATTCTAGAACAAAATTATTACTGAAAGTAAAAGTAAATACTCAGTTCCTCAACTGTCTAACAGAGAAATGGGAAATAGCATTGTAGTTGATGACAGAGAAGTAAATCCTAACTTCCTCTTTTAAAAAACTAAAACTTTAAAAGTACTTACTTTTCCAAAGGAGACCAGTCTCCATCAGATAAAGGGTAGTGATCCCCAGAATGGAAGACCAAAGGCTCTTTGTATTCCTCTTCCTTTAAAGAAGCATTTGAAGATCCTCTGATAAAAAAAGAAAACAGGAGCCATGACATGTGAACGTTCAAGGATTCCAAACATTTAATGACACATTTAGGGAGTTCTGGTAGCTTAGTGGTAAGGAGCTGTGCTGCTAACCCAAAGGCACACACTTCAAAGGCACCAGCTGCTCTGTGGGAGAAGGACAATCTACTCCTGTGCAATTGACTGTCTCTGAAAACCCACTGGAGCCTCTGTTCCAACTCCATGGCATACAAACACCACCGACACATTGGTTAAAAAAATTGGACTTCTTCATTTTTGTTAAGTAATTTTATCAAAAAGAAAATTTAATAGAGCAGGGGAGATTTACTGATGTCTTGTACCACAAATATACTCCAACTCCAATGGGACAAAAAGTACAGAGAGCAAGGTATGATTACAAATTCCTTGAGGGTTAATTGAGTCAAAGGTTAGGAGAAGGAAGCTAGGGTTTTATGGACACTATGGAATCCTCAGAATCGAAAGCAGACTAGACTATTTTATCTGTGAAGAAATCAAAGATCCAAGTCTGACAATTTGCCCAAAGTAGAAAAGCTAGTGAGGAGGCAGCAGCAGATTCCTCATACCCAGCTGTGGAAAGCTGCTGCTCTTTACTACATAACTCTGTCTGCTGTAAAGCCCATCAGAATGTCAACTGAACACAAGAGTTAGGACTTTAAAAACCCTAATGGCCCAAAACTTAAAAATCTTGGACTATCTGTCTCTTCTCGTTGGCCCAGGTCTCATTTTATTTCTTTATTTTGACAATTCTACATGATATAAAGACACGAAGATACTATTATTTAAATGTAACATCTTATTAGAAATGATTTTTAACAAGACAGACATTAAACTTAAAATGTTAGTTTTATCACCTAAACTGTGGTAACAGATTAAAAACATTCAGAAACCAGATCGTTAGTAATATTATTCTCAACACATCAATTATCTCGTTTTAACTTAATCTGCGTCACTACTCACTATGAGGCAGTTCTTCCACAGAGGTCCATCACTAACTTCAAGGTTTCCCTAACTCTACCCTTCTCACTTGCAGAAGGTTCACGCTCTGGCATACACTCTCATTTAGAGGGAAAAAAAATACAATTAGGATAAGCAGATATCTAGATAAAACCCCCTCTTTTTCTCTATAGAGGAAAATCAAATGGTAAAGACAAAAAAAGGAAAACCAGATGCTTCTGGACTGTCAAAGCTGAAAGGACATCACAGCCTGATCTTGGATGTTGAAGGGGTCTGAGGATCCAGACATTTTTTAATTAAAAGTGTTTTCTTTCTGGGCCATATTACCCTGCAGTAAGAAGGTGAGCCACAAAGAGTTTAGCAAAGCAAATTGGATTTGATAAAATATGAGAGGCCAAGCACCATAAAAAATTTCCAACCTCTGAAAGACACTGAATAAATTCTCTTCTCTGGACATATCTAGTAAAAAAAATAGAGCCCATTTGAAAAGAGGTCCATTAGAGGGTACAAGTTTCTGTTACTGAGATTCCTTGTTTATGTTTCTATATTAAAAAGATTTTTTTCTTTTATAATTTTTATTGTGATTTGAGGGGACACATACAGAATTGATTGGTATTCCATTCATTCATAATGACTGCAAATATGAGGGCTGGACTGGCAGACCAGCCTTCTGGTATTGCTGAGAAGAGATCACCCTGATCAAAAAACTATATCCTAAGCATTCCTCAGGCTGAACTGTCTCCTTAACAAATCCCCTAAACGTGAGTATGTCTTTGAACTTTGTATGGCCACTGCAATAAATTAGTGAACCAACACAGCTTCTGGGAGAAATGATTGGCATTTAAATACTTTTTAACTCCTTGTGCCTTGTTCTTTCAAAAAAATTTCTACTGGCTACGTATTTAAGCAGACCTTCCTTTGAATCAGTTTCAGGTGGCAGCATTTATAATTTACTGATGACTTACAAGAAAAGTAAATCACCAAACTCCTGAAAATTACAAGGCCCTCATTTATACGTGGTTCTGAAATGGTCTGCTTATAAAGAAAGCATGATTGTGGCTCAGAGAGACACAGCTGTCAACCACCTCTGATTGTGAACCCAAGGATTAGGGGTATGGCTGTTCCTGCAATCTGCACTAAAGTCTGCTCTATAATGCAAAGGACGTAGATCAACAAAAGGAGACTTGTTCTACAGGCAACGTGCTGTGTCAGTATCTTCTGTGGTAAATCTTGAAAGAAATTTAGTTGGCAAAAAGTTTTTTTCAGGAGCTAAATAAAGCACTTAAAACAGTATTAGGAATGCTCTTTCAAATAAAATTTAGATGTGCACACAATGCCAAGTTTCTCCTAGCAGCAGCCACATTTCTTTTTTCTTTCTTTTTCCAATGTGGAACCTGCTTCAGTGACTGCAGCCTATGAGCAAGGAGGCCAAACAACTGTTTGGGGCTACAGTTTGCTCTGGTATGGAACATTATATAACAGACCCACAAGGACGGGTCTGCCATAAATTCAAACCCATGCATTCTTTGTTCTTTTTTTAGAAGTCAAAGTTCTTGTCCAGCTACACATTTTACTATAATTAAGACAAAATATTTACGGGAATTATTTGTATCAGATTTAACAGTCTTAACATCCCTGAAATTAAGATGAAAACCTTTAGAGTTTAAGTTTATTCTTCTAGAGAATAACTAAACCTTATTAAGTTCCATCGAGTTGAGTACGCCTCATAGCAACCCTATGACTAACAAATCTGAACCCTGTTATATCCTGATCATTCTCACAATATCTGACATACTTGAGCCCACTGCTACAGTCACTGTTCTACAGCTTGCAATATGGATTACATCTGAACATTAAGAAAGCAAAGATCCTCATCACTGGGCCAATAAGCAACATTATGCTAGATGGATAAAAAAAAGTGAAGCTGTCAATGATTTTCACCTTGTTAGAATCCACAATCAACATCATCGGTACCAGGAGTCAAGAGATTAAAAGATAGACAGCACTGGGGAAGCCTGATGTCAGGGACCTCCCCAAAGTACCAAGGAACAATGGTGTCAATTTAAAGACCAATGTGCACCTGATTCAAGTCATGGTGTCTTCAATCACCTGCTAATGTGACTGTATACCAATGAAAGAATTTTACTTTTCAAAGAAAAGAGCAAACGGGGTGGGGGGGGAGGAGAGGGTGGGGGGGAAATGCAACAATGCATGAATTGAAATCCAAAGTCTCTGTAAACGCTCATTAAAATGAATAATAAATTTATTTTTTTTTAAAAAAAGAAGCTGCACTGCAATCCCAAAGGCTTTCAGTTCGAATCCACCAGCTGCTCTGTGGGAAAAGGATGGGCAATCTCCTCCCATGTGATTAAGTGCCCCGAAGACCTTCTGGAGGGTCAGCTACAGGTCACGTCACAGCAACAATGTATATGTATCTTCTAAGTACTAATTTCCCAGAAGTATGGGATGACTTCTCTCAGCATTGAGGTGAAAACATATGATGAAATGCGTCTAATGCCTAAAGCAACTAAGACTCCTCTTGTCATGTAAATAAAAGGTGGGGAGATGCACAGAGGACATTTTGGGGCAGTAGTTTCTGTCTGTCCAACCATCTCTCTCAGTGACGGCACCACCATGGAACATCATGGTTCCCAGCAAAAAGGACGGAACTGGAGAATTTTTAAAATCTAGTGTGGGGCTTTGTAAAAAATAAAAATTATATTTTACTTCCAACTGCAGTTACCTTTTAAATTTCAGATAATGCTGACTTGAAAATTAATACATTCTGAATTCTATAGATTTGGTAAAGAAATAGTAAGATTTCTCAATTAAAAAAGAAAAAGAACCGCCTTTCTATTCAGCTTACTAGTACATGTTGGTGATAAAACACACACTTCAACTTCATGGAAAAAAGTGGGATACCCAGCAAGAAGCAGAAAAATAAAAGTAACACTGTGCTCACCAACCAAAGAAAATCACTTACTCAGATTTTTACCTAAACTATAGGATGTTTGGAAACTTAACAGAGAATGAAAAGAAACACATTCTAGTCTGCGCACATGACACTGTGGTACCACAGTAAGTCTGGTAGCAACTTTTTTAAAAAAATTGCAGAATGGGGAAAAAGAAAATGCCTGTTCCAGCTGACTTCACAATAAATGGTCACAGAGATGAAAAGTATAAGCCTCAGCTTAGAGATCCAGAACAGAACAGATCCCACATGACCTTAGTGACATCTCGTCTATCTGGACGTCCTCGAAACAGCATGAAATACATTTTCCTGACTGTTAGCTCACCTTGCTGACTGGGCTCGCGTCTCATCATCGGAGCTTCTCTCCACATCCAATGCGTCACCTGAGGCAAGAGCAGCAGGCTGATCCTCCTTCTTACTGTCTTGCTTATATTTCTTGCGCCTTCGCTTTTTCTTTTTTACAGAACCTGGAGTGAAAACTGTCTCCGCTTCTAAAATGTGAGAGATGCCTGCACTCTGAGGTAATCTTTCATCTCCACTTGATTTCATCAAAAGGGGGTCACTATCTTTAAAGAATTGATCTTCAGTAGGAATTGGCGAGGTGGCAAGGTAAGCGGGAAGTTTTTCCTTAAAGCAAACGAGGATAAAGGAAAGTTAACCAACTCAACAGTGACGCATACTATAACAGAGTATCTAAATTTCACAGTGGTACCAAAAAAAAAAAAACCCCACCAAAACAACAACAACCAACAACAACAACAAACATTTTCCCTGGACATTCAACTAAATCAACTGTTTTTAACAGGTCACAGCTCAATATTAGCTCATTTTAAAATAGATTAAATAAATAAATTTGGAGAAATTAATAATACTATGTCAGCATGAAATACAAAAAGGCTATAAAAATAGTCTGTTAAGATCTCTGTAACGAGAAGCTGAAAGCAGCAGCAGCATTCAGAATTGGCTTTTCAAGGACTCTACCAAGTATATCCAAGGGAGATCAGGAGCACGAGAAAGCAGGAGGCAAATAAGAATACTGCCTCAAAGAAAAGGTAGTTTGACAAATAGGTAAGTGAACTGAGAAGCTAGAGTAAAATTTAGAGTGGTTAATGCCAATATTTTGCCAAATTAACTAAGTGTAGGAAGGTGGTTTTGATAGGCAAAATAATCTGTAACTGAAGGAATGAACAAATTGTATATAAGTGTTCAAAAAAGCAAAAAGCTTCAATATTTAGAAAGAAACTTAGTTTAATATATGTGTTCAGTAAATGACTTTAACCATTTGCTTCACTCCTCTGCAGTATAGGGGAAATGGAAAGTAGTCAATGGAAAAAGAAATTAACTTGGTATATTTATTTATTTTTAAATAAAATTTTTTATTTTAATTGTCATTTTAACAAAAGTTTACAGAAAACTCAGATTTTCATTGATTCATTGTTACACATTTTACCCCCTCAAGGTGACTTTCCCCCCCTTTTCATTAGTTTATTTACAGAATTCTAATATAAATTCGAACAAATTCTTTCAATTTCCCTCACCCCCCGACCCATCAAATTGTACAACCCAATGATTAATCTCCTCTTGCCCCTGTACATCCACATGCCTCTGCTTCCAACCTCTCCCACCCCTCCTGGATCCTTATACTCATTCTACAATAATGGTCTTATACAATATTTATCCTTGTGGGACTGAGTTAGTTCACTCAGCATAATGCTCTCCAGTCCCTCCCAAGTCAGGTAATAATTTACGAAGTTATTGCTCCTGTGTGCTGCATAGTATTCCACTGTGTGACTGTTAACTTGGTGTATTTTAGACTACAGTAGTTTTTCACACATGCATTTTTAAATTCTTTCTGATGAAGCTTTTGAACGGGCTTTCTGAACATTTTATCCTAAACTTTTGTTTACCTAAGCAAATTCTATATTTACTAGTAACACTACTGAGAACACACATTAATAAACACATCAGTGCATGTTGCCTGAGAGGCCCCATGGGAGCTCCCATGGCCTGTTGGCCCAGGCTCTCTCAAGTCAGTGGTCTTTGACACGGAGTTTACTTGTATGCCTGAAAATAATTTTGTTATCTACTCCTAGAGTAAGTCTTACTGTTCATGATTTGATTTTAAAGCTAGGGCTTCTATTTAACTGTTTTCCAAGTAAATTCCTAGAATATCAATAGTCACTCGATGTTTCTCTACAGTAATGTGTTCTCTAACACAGCATGCACATAAGAGCCAGTCTGAGCAGAAAAAAATTAAGAAAATGTAATGTCTATATGAACAATAATCTGACTTATTTACAAATTTACAGAAGCCAAGTATTTAGCAATCCCACTAAAGAATCTATTCTACAGAGGAAAAACACTTGACAGGGACCACTGGAAGTATAAACACAGATAAGAGCAGTGTTTGTATCAGTGAAAATGGAAATAACAGATTTACCAGTAAAAGAATGGTTAAATAAAGTGTGTATCTGTGCTGTGGAATACTGTGCAGCTATTAAAACATCTAGATTTAGATGTAGAACTACTGATCTGAAAGGAAGCTGATGGTACATAGTTCAATGGGAAACATTTAAGGGAAACAAAAAGTAAATAAAAGAAAGTGAGATGAGATTGTGTTGTTGCTGTGTGTTGCCAACATATACCTGACCTTCTAGCAGATTTCCAGGGGCAGTAAATTACACAGGAGGAGGACTGCCCATCAAGTAAATAAAAGGAAGTGAGATGAGGTTTTAGTTAATTTTAATTCCTCTCTCAACTATGAACTCCTGCAGAGTAGAGGGTTATTCCCAGAACATGACACAGTATAGTAAAATCCAAACACATATTAAGTGAATTAACACATTTTATTTTAAAAGATAAATTATAATATAATAGGGAAAACCAATCAATATAGTTATGAATGGTAGGAGAAAAGACTGGAAAACAGATACTCTCCAAGAATCTGCAGGGAGCTGCACTGGTGACGTTGGAATCCACCAGCAGCCCTGCAGAGAAAGATGGGCAATCTCAGTGCAATCTACTACCTCGGAAACCTGCAGAAGGGTCAGCTGTGAGTTGGTTCCAATTTGAAAGCAATGAAAGAGTGAGTTAAGTACATTTTATAATGGAATCACCAGTCCAATCACTATTACGGATTATACTGTGGTTTTTAGCAACACATCAAGAATATTGCATCCTATGGTAATTTTCATTTACTGTGTCTAACATTTTGCCTCTGTTTCTTAAGAGTGAACTTATTTTGATAAAGCAAACGTGAATAAGGTAATAAAAAACAACTTATCTTAAGATTTATGAAATTACCAACTTAGTAAATTGTAATTTACAATAAAATGCATAATTATCCTGTCTTTACAATGCTTTAACATTGGTACCTAAGCCACTCGCTTTTCTCATAACTAACAAACAATAAACACAATTTTATTCTACTGCTGTTTGTTATCGGTTGATATGTGTACCTTTGTGGATTTCTAACACTACACTGGCAGTTCATCTCTGAAACAAACAAACAAAAAAGCAGCAGTACTTAAAAGAGGGTAGTGGTGGCACAGTCCCTAGGGAGTTGGCTAATGTCAAGGTTTCCACCTCTCTGGCAGTTTGAACCCACCAGACACTCTGTAGGGCATTCTCTCAAATGATTCACAGCCTTGGAAACCCAGTGAGTGGTCAGCTTTAAATCAGTTCTGACTCAACAGCAGGATTTTCTAAGAATGAAAAAATGAGGAGGAAGGCCACATCAAATTATCAGGAACAGTTTACACCTTAGCAGAGACATAGGGTTGGAGGAAAGGGAAGGAAATGAAGGAAGCTGAACATGCAATTATCTCTTATTAAAGAGTACAGGCCCACTTCGATCTCCTGAAATCATGATAAATTAATTCACGTCACTATTGATGGTTAGGGATGTAATATCCCTAATAAAATGATAAACATGTTTTCCATGTTCAAAGGTCAAATGCATACACACCTCCCTTCTGAAGAGATAGGCTTTCACCACTCAGTTAAAACAGAATATATTCAGTCAAGGTATAAACTGTAGTACAGTAAATAAAAATCCACACTGAAGTCAGAGAACAGCTGTGACTCCTTACAGAAAGAGCTGTTCTGCCAGCTACCTCTCTCTTGCTGCTTGGTGCTGTGAAAAATTCCTCATCCCTCTGCCTCCTCTCTGACAGTTTAATATTTTAACCAAAGATTAAGTTTGTCTAGCCAGCAACAATCAATCATTCACAGAAACAAGCTTTAAACTGCTGAACATCTCTGCTTCAGGAGATGTATACCCAAGCCAAAAATAATGTATTACATAGATACAGCAGTACTTACATATTCCTCTTTCGTTTCCTCTACAAAGAAAGCTTCTCCATTGTCACCTAATTTCATATGAAGATCCACTGCATCACCATTGATTTCTATATCAATCTAAGGGAAAAAATAAAAGTAAGACTGAGCATGGAAAGAGTTACTCATTCAAGCTCATGTAAGCCATATACTTGGCTTCTGAACTGTCTGAAGTACTGAGGTGCCCTAGGGCTACAGTCTTGGGGACATGACTGCACCCACTAATAAAACACTCACCGAAACAAAGGACCTTGGGAGGAAAAAACAAAGGACTGAGGAAAATGTTTCATTATCTACTTTTACAACATAAAAAATTCTGCACTTATTTAATGTCTTAATCCTAGTAAAAATGGGTAGAGTCACTGTCAAATATTTGCATCTTTTCCAAAGTATAAAGCAGGCAGGCCTCACCTTGTAGAGACATGGACAATTTCATTTCCATCATGTCATAAACTGTGAGTAATTGTTCAAAGTACAAACTTCACTTCTGTCCACAAATGGCTAATAGGTTAAGAGATGTTCAGCTTGATTAAAGAACACTGAGGGCACGCCTTCCAGAGCTGTCTGTCCTGGCCACTGTATATCTGTCAGTTCCTATACAGACAGCAAAGTATGTGGCTGTGTTGCTTCCTTCTATCCCAATAAAAACCCTACATGTCATTTTATAACAAAAAATACTCCTCTTAAGTTTAGTAAGAAGAAATAAGATACTTAATAATTTACACTATTCCCAATGTTTGAAATGGCTGTGTACATAGCAAACACTAATGTTATAATTTTTTCATCTCCCTATTTTTGTCTAGAAAAAGCCCTGGTGGCACAGTGATTAAGTAGTTAGTGACTAAACAAAAAGACTAGCAGTGTGAACCACGAGCTGCTCCTGAGGATAAAGACGTGGCAGTTTGCCCTAGAAACAACCCAAATTCAATGCCACTGGTGCCCAGTAACCCTCCGTTAGGGTTCTGAGGCTTCTGTAAATCTTCATGAGAGGAGTCCACCCATCTTGCTCTTGTGGAATCTGCTGGTAGATTCAAACTGGCGGAAATGCATGTCCTTTTAGTCAGCAGCACAGCTTACTAGATCCTATGCCCTTGGAGGTCTCTGAGGACCTACAGCCTGGAAAACCCGATGGGGTAGTTTGTGCTCAGTCCTACAGGTAGTTATGAATCGGGATAAACTCGACATAACATTGGGGTTTGTTTATCAGGATCTCTGGTGGTGTAATGGGTAAGCACTTGGCTACTAAGTGTAACTCCAGTTACAGCTAACTATAAGATCCACCCAGGATCTCTAAGACAAAGATCCAATGATCTGCTCCTGTAAAGATTATTCACCTTTTCCCTCAGAGGGGCTCACAGACTAGAATTGCTGATCTTTTGGTTAACAACCAAAAAAATGTTCCACAAGAATATTAAGAGATGTGGCCTAGTGGCAAGAAGCTGCACTGCAATCCCAGAGGTGCGCTGTTTGAATCTACCAGATGTTCTGGACAATCTCCTCCTGTACCTGTTAAGATCTGATTTGACGGTACACACACAAAATAAAAAAATAAAAAGAATAAAAAAAAATTTTAAAGAGATGGCACCAAGTTGAGGTCTCTGGTGATGATTTTAAAGAAGACATTTGTTTTAATCTACTAAAATTCTAGTAAAATGCTTTCTAAAACACTTATTTCTAGTCACACTTCCCACACTGTTGCTTTATCTTGCTCAACATATGACTGAGATGTTGAAACGGAACTGATTTTAAGAAATATTAAGATGCAGCAGACACTTGCTTCAGTCTGCCACCCTTATGGGCAAGAACATTCCAGTGCTTTAGGAGATCTACTGCATCTCCATTTCAGTCCATATATACTTGAGCTGTGGCTTTAGTAACTGTGAGACAATTAGTGTTTCTTAGCAGTTCTCCAAAAGAAGCCAATTTAGTCATTCTACTCTCAACGACTTGATGGCACTTAATTACACCACCAACAAAGAGAGAGCTCTGTGGGCCTTGTGAATAGAAGTTATGTAACCAAGGCAAAGGTGGGTGATTTTAATCTGCGACCCTCACACCTGGCTTCAACTGTTTGTGGTCAAACATTCTTCTAAGTGGTATAACACTGGTCTGTCCATTTGCTGTACAGAGGTAACTCGTGGTTGCTGTGATGCTTAACACTGTGACACTGATGTGTCAAATGCGATAATGGTTACCATGGTGGAGTGTTTTGTGGAGCTCCCCAAATGGACAATTCTGATTCATAACAACCTGTAGGACTGAGCACAGACTGCCCTGTTGGGTTTTCCAGGCTGTAGGTCCTCATGGAGCTCCAAGGACACAGGCTCTAGTAAGCTGCACTGCTGACTAAAAGGTGGTGGAAGCTGGAGGGGCATCCACTTCCGAAAAGCTTGCCTCTGGAAACTCTATGAACTTGGAGAAACGAAGAAAGTTACACAAGTGTTCAGGTCTTTCGTTCATAGGGTCACTATGAGTCATTTACAACTAATTGGCACTTAACAATAACAACAACAACTCTCAACTTAATCGCAACAATATCAGTCTAGAGACTAAGGTACACCTAATCCAGGCCATGGTCTTTGCAATTACTTGTTATGCATCAGAAAGCTGGACAATGACTAAGGATGACGAAGAATTTACGCCTTTGAGCGGCACCAAGAAAGCAAATAGGTCTGTTTTGGAGAAGGTGAAACCAAATTTCTCCTTGGAGGCCAGGATTTTGAAACTCCATCTCACATACTTTGGGCATGTGGCCAGGAGAGACCAGTCCTTGGAGAAGGGTATAATGCTCGAAAGGGTGGAGGGACAACCCTGGATGAGAAAGACTGGCATAGTAACTGGGGCAATGGGGTTGGTGTGCTGGGAGCCAGTGTGATTGGCTCAGGACAGGACAGGCTTCAGAGCTATTGTACACAGGGTCACTATAAATCACAGGTGACTAGACAGCACATCGTAACAACAACAGCAGTAGCAAAACTCTCAACGAGAATGAATGGCCCCTGAGATTAATGCTGGTACTTATTAGGGGAAGAAGTTCTCTTTACCCTGGGGTTGCTAAGCAAATAGGGATGACTGGCAGCCATCCTGCTTTAGAGAATCAACACAAAAGGAGGCACAGAGGAGAGATGGGGAAGAGAATGGGTTTTGATCCTACCTTTGAGGCCTCCACAAACAGTCCTAACTAAATAAATTCTTTTCTTGCTTTTATAGCAAATGCTAAACCAAAGGCCAACTGAGTATATTGATTTAGAAGGAGATTCTCACGTTCATTTCTGTGTTTTGAATCATTTTGCCTTTGGTGACAAGAAAGGGATAGCAGCATAGTCTGTAGGGAGTTAGCTGCTCTGCTAAGCCACAGGTCACATCTCTCCCATGGTTCAACTCCACCAGTGGCTTCAGGAGAGAGATGGGCAGTCTCTTCCCAGGGATGAAGATGAATTCTAACTCAATATATTTCACTATGTACTTGAGAGTCAAATGCAAGGGCAAGCCCTGGGATTAATAACAAAACTTAAGACAGCAAATTAAGATTTAAGCTGTAATGAAACTCACAAATGTAAATATGACATTAATTAAATTCAAGCAAACCTAATGTATTTATGAGTATGTCAGTTTATTTCATAGACAGTTTGACAGAAGGGTTAAATCTAAAGTACAGTTGTTGTTGTTGCTGTTAAGTGCTGCTGAGTTGTAGACTGCCCTATTAATGAAAGACCTGAACACTTGTATAACTTTCACTGTTTCTCTAAATTCATAGGGTTTCCGGAGGCAAGCTGTTTTGGAAGTGGGTACCACTCTCTCTTTCAAGCTTGTTTTAATAGGGGAGCTCCGCCAAACATTGTTCACCATGGGTAACCATTATCACATCTGACACATCTGTGTCACAGTATTTAGCATCACACAGCAACTATAAATTACCTCTGTACAGCAAACGGAAAGACCAGTGCTATACCACTTATAAAAATGTTTGATCAAAAACAATTAAAACCAGGCGTGACGGCCGCAGATCAAAATCACCCACCTTTGATTTGGTAGCATAACTTTCTATCCACCAGGCCCACATGTTGGGGTTGTTGTTAAATACCATTGAGTAGTAGACGACTCATAGAGACCCTATGACCAAAAAACCAGAATACTTGTATAACTTTCATCATTTCTCCAAGTTCAGAGAGTTTCCGGAGGCAAGCTATTTCGGAAGTGGATCACTTAAATACATGCAACTTCATCACAGGTAACTTCAGCCAAGAGGTCAAACTTTTACCCATCCAGGTACAAATGCACAGGATTATCAAATTATCTGGTACTCTTTTTTTCCCTGGAGTGACTGACTTCCTATGACAGGGCTTTGTGATTTTAGGAGTTACTTTGAAACTAACTAGTACATAAAGGGTAATTTTTCATACCACTGTCTTCATCATCATACAAAACAACCCCCGTCACCCAAGATTACTTGCTCACCAAGGCGGCCTGTCCCTGTCCCTGGAGGAGGTATGCCCCACTCACCACCTTCTCCCTGGACCGCAGCACACCCAGCTTCCCGAAGCGCACGTGAAAAGGCGAGCACTGGTAGGTACCATCCTGCTGCCGCACCACGATGACGTCGATGCACCCAGACAGGGTGGCCTGGTTAATGCCCTTGTAGAGTTCCTTCACAGTGACAATCACTTGCCCCGCCAGCTGTCCCACATAATTCATGGTTTGAGACTACAAAAGATAAGGAGGAAGCGATGAGATAGAACACGCAATTTGTGGATAAAACAACAATGACAAAAAAGTAACAGCAGTGACAGAATTTCATGCTCATGATCTTGCTTATTTGAGATCCCGTATTCTCACAATATCCCTGTTTTCACAAGTTCATGCATTGATAATCCCAGACTGCCCTTCTCTGTATCTTGAGAGCCAGTCCCCTTAGCGCTTGAGGGAAGTAAAGAATCCTTCTTTCCTAGCACCACGGGCAGTGATTATTCATTAGGTAATTTCCTCCAAAGATCAGAACTCACCTAAGACAGAACCATCCAAGACCCCATCACCACCTCTGCCCTCTGGCCAAACCCCAAAACCTGGGCTGTGTCACACTTCGGCCACAGCAGGAAAAACAAAGGAAAATCACTCCCGTTAATCTTTCAAAAGGAAAAAAATGAAATAAATGTGAGCTGGGTTCTCGTCAGAACTACTGTTAAGACAGTATGGTTCAGATACATGTGAGGTAGCCTAGATTTAATAAGTTTCTATTGTTGTTGTTATGTGCTGTTGTGTCGCCTGCAACTCAGTGACCCCTAAGGATAACAGCTCTGAAGCCTGCCCTGTCCTAAGCCAGTCTCACTTACTCCAACACACCTACCCCCATTACCCCAGTTACTTTTGTCAATCTATCTCACCCAGGGTCTTCCTCTCTTGTGTTATAACTATCGCTCCACCCTTCCAAGTATGATGTCCTTCTCCAAGGACTGATCCTTCTTGGCCATGTGCCCAAAGTATATGAGATGGAGTTTCAAAATCCTAGCCTCCAAGGAGAAACTTTGTTTCATCCTCTCCAAGACAGAATTGTTTGTTCTCTTGGCAGTCCATGGCATGTTCAATACTCTTCTCCAGCACCATAACTAAAAGGCATTGATTCTTCTTCTGTCATCTTTTGTTACTGTTCAACCTTCTGATGTACAGCAAGTAATTGCCAAGACCATGGACTGAATCAGGAGCACCTTAGTCTCCAGAATGACACTGCTGCTTTTCAGTACCCTGGAGACGTCCCTGACCACAGATTTTCCCAGTGCAATTCATCTTTTGATTTCCTGACTGCTGATGCCAAGAGTGTTGACTGTGGAACCAAGCAATCTTGAAGATGTTAACAACCTCAATCTCTTCTCCATCTGTTATAGTGCTGCCAGTTGGCTCAGTGGTGAGAATCTTTGTCTTCTTGATGTTGAGCTTCAATCCATATCAAGACTACAGTCCTTGACTTTCTGCAACAAACACTTCAGATCCTACAAGTTTCAGCAAGCGAGGTCGTGTCCTCTGTGTATCGCAGGTTGTTGAGTCTTCCTCCAACCCTGATGACACATTTATCCTTATCAAGTCTAGCCTCCCAAACGATCTATTCTGCATAGACTGAAAAGGTACTCAATCTCACATTTACTGTCAGTAAATGACAAGGTCAGTTCTGACCCACAGCAAGCCTCCATCAGTTTCTGAGGCTGCAAAGAGTTAACAGGAGAGATGGCCTGTCTTCTTCCTAGGGAGCCACTGGTGGTCACGGGCCATGTGGCTATTGGTGCAACAGTCTATGCGTAGTATCACCAAGAGTTCCCTAAGTTAATATTGTTTCTGTCTTAAAGACTTACAATACAACTCACAAGAGCACATATTCATACCCCGTAAGTTAAAAGTTCAGAAAAGCATTTTCATTTTGGTCTACCTTCAATTCATTATGCAGTCAGGACGCCCGGGGATCAGAAGAGGCCCCTCCAGTCAAGGACCTCGGGAAATGTTTCCTGCTCTCTCTGACCCTCCAGCCCTCTGTGGCTCCAACTAGTGGTGGCTCTACTGTCAACAGAGAGAGGACCCACCATGTCTATGCTCTAAGAGTGAGCACTGGGGGAACCACCCCCACCTCTCAATTTTTCCACTCATCAAAGCAATGGTGCCACTGGGAGTTCCATGTTTTATCACATGGTTGCCTGTGCACTCATTTATGAAGAGAAGAAACCAATACCATGAGTGATCAGACAGACATCATTAAATACGTGGCTAAAGGTACCCTTACCTTCCTCTTGACCTCACATCTGGCAACCACTAATGAATTTATTCTCTATTTCTTTAATTCCATCATTTCAAAGAAGTGATATAAAAGAAGCCAGTGTAATTATTTTTTTAAAAAAGGAGAAAAAAAGAAGTGATGTAAGTGAAACAATATAGTATGTGACCTTTGGGGGTTTCCCTTTCTTTCACTCAACACAGCTCTCTAGAAACCCATCAGTCACTGCTATGGCCCCTGGGAGGCACTAGCTGCTGGTCTTTGATGGACTGACTGAAAGGTAGACAGTCTGAGCCCACCGTGGGTATGTGGGATAAAAGCCTGGCCACTGTTGCCATAAAAACTGTTATCGCTGTATTCCACTGAGTCAACAACTCCCACTCATACAAGCCTATAGGACAAAGCAGAACTGTGATCAAGAGTAATACCTTTTGTTTGGTACCCCATTCTTTTATTTTATTAAAGAGAAGGCAGCTAGTTCAAGGTTTAAAGAGTATCTCAGAGTGCTTTGTCTCAGGGACTCTTCTGGTCTTAACTGGTCCAGGAAGCTTTTTAAGGATTTCCAATTCTGTCCCACACTTTTCCATTCTATTAAGATTCCAATTTACCATGGTTCTGGTCAGAACGGTCCCTAGTAGTGGGTGGGCACCATGTAGCTCTTCTTGTCTCAATGGAGATGTGTTGAGGTAACAGCTCATGTAGGGTATTAGTGCTAGATTCTTCTCGGAGACTCTGGTTTCTCTTTTTGCCCCTGATGAGCCGAGACAGACAGATGTATTTTAGCTGGTTGTTTGTGAGCTTTAAGACTCCAGATGCTACTAAATTCACTAAGATGTGGAACACAATCTTTGTAGGCAGTCTTATATCAACTGACTGAATTGACTTATACCACAAGACTTAAGTCCTAAAGCTCTCAAGCACAATACAAACAAAAATCTCTCAGGATATTTGGTTACACCTACAAAACATCTTTAATTGTCTTCTAAGAGCATTTATGTCTGCACACACACATTTACATGCATGCATCTACTACTCTCTGTGTACATATGTATATGCCTTTATACATACACACAAACATTTATATTTGTTTGGGGATCCTTGTGGGTGGTGATGCCAAATTACGTATGTAAAATTCTTTAGCAAAAACCACCTTTTTTTCTTGAATACTTCTTAGTGACTTCATTACTTTGGTCAAGTCACTCTAGCCATACCCACAGTTGGTGCTATGTTTTTCCTATCTACCAGGGCAATAAGCAACACAAGAATAGATGGAAAAATACTGAAATTGTTAATTTCATCTTACTAAAATCTACAATCAACCCCCTTGGCAGCAGATGACAAGAAATCAAAAGACATCTATGCAATGGTAAAGTTTGCCGTCAGTGACCTCTCCAAAGTACTGAGGAACAATGATGTCAGTTTAAAGACTAAGGTTTGCTTGGCTCAGGCCATTCTTTTCCATCACTAGCTAGCTATGTGTGTCCGTTTGAGAGCTGGACAATGTATAAGGATGACAGAAGAAGAGTTGATGCTTTTGAGCTGCAGTGTCGGAGAAGAGTACTGAATGGACTGCCAAAAGAACAAACGGATTTGTCTTTGAGAAAGTGTAGCCAGAGAGCTCTTTGGAGGCAAAGATGGCCAAGTTGTATCCCACATAAATTTTGAGCAGGATTTCTTGGAAAGTGACATCATGCCTGGAAAGGTGGAGGGCCAGTGAAAGAGAAGGAGCCCCTCAATGAAATGGACTGATTGACACAGTAACAGCAGCAATTGGTGTGACTATGTACAAGGCGATGATGCTGTAGCCGTATAGGACAGGATTCAGATCAGCTGTTCATAGGGACACTATGAATTGTACTCAACTCAACAATGCATGAACAGTAGCAACCAACATCTTCTAAGGCTATGAGATGCTCTGCCGGAGAAATATGAGCAATCTCCTGTGCCTCTGGAAACCTGCTGGATGGTCAGCTCTGAGTCAGTTCCAACTCAGTGGTGCACCACTACCACTGAGGCATTAGCCCCCCTTTCCCTCAACCCTCCTGGTAACCACCAATGAATATAAATTTGTTCTTTAAAAAAAAAATCAACCTGGATCATACGACATTTGTCTTTATGTGATGTCAGGATGTCCTCTAAGTCTATCCACATCATGTTTGGTAGGCTCATGACTGTTCTTTGTGGCTGTGCAGTACTCTGTCACACTACTGTGCTTATGTGTCACATTTGCTACTTGATGGGCATCTGGGTTGTTTCCCCTTTTTGGCTATTGTGAATAATGCTGCAATCAGTATGTGTGTGCAAATACCTATGTCTCTTTTATTACATCTCTATTGTATAAGTTGAGTTATATGGTCTATTTCAGCTTGTTTTAGGAAGTGTCATACCACTTTTTTTCAAGGTCTGAAAGATTCATAGCAATTGTTAAGATATGTAAAGTGCCAACAGCAATGTATAAAGGTTCCAATATTGTCACATCGTTGCCAGTATTTATGTTGTTTTGTTTTGACCAGTCATTTAAGGTAGGCTGAGCTAGTATCTAGTAAGCTTTGATTTTTATTTATCTAACAGTTAACAATTATGAGTATTTTTTCATGTTTGTTGCCCACTTGAATATTTTCTTTAGTGATATGCCTGTTCATATCCTTTGCCCATTTAAAAACAGAACTGTTTTGTCTTTCTGTTGTTAAGTTGTTGATGTTTTCTCTAAGTCTGACCCTTATCAGCTGTTATTTCTAACAGTCTCCCCCCTCTTCCCTAAGACTATGTTGACTTTTTATTCCTTTGATACAGTTTTTTCCATTGGATCTTAAGGTTTTATGAGGTCTTAATTACCTATCAAATTGGTCAACTCAAGACAGGAAGACATTGAATAATATGGAGTGGCACAGTGCAGTAATGCGCTCGCCATGGCGGAGACTGAGAGGAAGGTGCAGGATGGGGCGGCTCCAAT